AATCGTATTAATTTGTTTATTAAAAAAACATGAGATGTATAAACAAAAAGCAAAATTATATACGTTTTTACGAGGGTTACATGAGCGTGGGTAGTACCGGTGTATATAAAATTATATAAAATATGTGCGTCGGAGCTGTTCCTATGGTAAGTATATATATATAACAAGTAAGGGAGCAGGGGCTAGAGGTGTAAATCCCATCTTCAGATGTGATTTGACTCTTGTTTCGAGTGCAATTTATATATATTATGCTGTTTGCAACGTCCGTTTATAATGCTAGCCCTACTCTCGGGGTGACCCATGCATGCTTGTCAAGTTCGCATGTTATGATAAGGATCAGGGCTATGTTTGTACTTCGTATGCCGGGTGATCCTCCTGGTAGCGTGACCCTATCACCTGGTAAACAAGCTCGTCCGCGTCACGCAATTACGTTAGTGAACCATGCGATTTCACGGTTCTGTGCACAAGTTATTCATATTTTGCTTCAATCTTACAGGTACACATCATGGAAGCTCTGTACGAGGCTGTTAACTGTCCTCAAGTAGCAATTGCCGTTGCCGTTGTGGTTATAGGAACTCTATACTTGGTTTCTAAGCTTATCCACGGTGGTCGAGTCCAAAACCCTGATGATAAATATGTACTCATTACTGGTTGTGATAGAGGATTCGGTAAAATGGCTGCAATTCGGTTAGATCAGCTTGGTTTTCACGTAATTGCGACCTGCCTGACCGATGAAAGTCAGAAGGAGCTTAAAGAAGAAGCAAGCAACAAGTTGACTACATTTAAACTTGATGTCACTAAATGCGACCAAGTACAAGATGTATATCATAAAGTTACTGCTCTTATTCCTAGGGATAAAGGTAAACACTAACAATCGTTCGGTGTAGAGGGTCGATAATCATCGACTGTCCTTCTGGATGGTGTAAAAACATCGGCTATCAGGGGGTGTGGACAAGGGGAGTGTGGCAGGTAACACATTTTCGTCCATGAGTTTGTTCTGTGTGGTCCAAAAACAATGCTATTAATTTTGCAGTCAAGCGTCTGTTTCACATTCTTAAAATCCCAAGAAAAAAAAGCTGTAACCTCCCGTCTTGAAGCCCCTGCGCAAACTCCTGACTGCTGTTTGGAGTTCATAGTGTGATTTATGGAATGATAGATTTGATTGATTGGTCTTATGATTGTTGATTTTGATTTCGTTTGTTAATTGATCGAATGAATGTTTGATCGTTAGTCTGAGTGTTTGTTCGCATGATTGGTTGGTTATTWATTATGCAGTCGATAAGTTTCGAACTAGTGTTGTTCATCGATATACTGATTGATTGATTGATTAATTGATTGGTTGATGATAGATATGGATTGATTGATGGATTGATTAATTGATTGGGGGGGGGGGGTTAAGCAATTGTTTCATTGTTTTATTGAATGACMGATCGATTGATCGATTATGTGGTCGATTTACTGACTGTATGTATTATTTCTACCATAGGTTTGTGGGGAGTTGTCAACAATGCTGGCGTGGCTACAGTTGGACTCGTTGACTGGGTTTCTCTTGAGACRTTTAAACGATCTGCTGACGTCAATTTGTGGGGCATGATTGACGTCACAAAGACTTTCTTACCYCTCATCAAGAAGACCAAAGGACGAATTGTGAATGTTACTAGCATKGGAGGTACTTAACCCGTAACAATTCAGTGAATTTAATTCAAGGAAGGGCTAGCTAGGATTGACGTAAATCTTGAAACAAATAGAAACGTAGCTCCATATGGGTACAAACCAGAGCAACTGATGTCGCTCATACATTCCTTATTATGGTAGTGCATTCCAAGGCCGCAATGCATTGTGGCTATTAACCTCCACATTTTAGCCGCGTTACAACGGATCACAATTTTAGAATTAATTACTTTCCGTTGAAGGTCTTGACTGCATGGCGCTGATCTCAAACTAACAACTAAAGCTTCTTCTGAACGATGACMGAATGACCAACAATGCATTTCGGTCTTGGAACGTTCTATTGTCAGGATTCAATTAACTTACGTAATTTTTCGTTTCTTTCAGGTCGTGCTTGTCTTCCTAATGCAGTAGCTTATAGCGTTTCTAAGTTTGCAGCTGAAGCGTTTTCGGATGCGCTACGACGAGAAATAGCTGATTTTGGTGTCAAAGTAAGCATCGTGGAACCAGGTTTTTTTCAAACTCCAATGGTTACCAAAGCAAACCTCAGCAATGCGTGGCGTGACGTATGGAACAAGCTTGATAAAGAAAAACAGGAAGAATACGGTGAAGAATTCTACRAAATTCGTGAGTATTACATKGRCATATTTAGCCTTCTCCGCAGACATCTCGCTTTTCCAGCTTTTYCATRCTTCGGGTTCCCTGTGGAAGAAAATAGGGAAGAGAGGGGACTGGGGGAGTGAAAAGAAAAAGTTACTAGACCCGCTCCCTTACTGATTAAGACAGGAAGCCCGCTATTTACATGTATGTSTATTAATGCGCAGTGTCCATATAGTCGTTCCATTTGCAAGAAAACACGTTTTTGCATTGTTYAAGTTTGCCTCAAGAGAATTTACAACAATGCGAAGCGTTTTCTGGAACGATAACAATACGTCTGACATTTTCGGGTCATCGATCTTTCAGTGTACCTCATCAGCACTGACATTCTATAATTCAAGCTAGCGAATTAAACATGTCTATTGCGGGCTAAACTCTTTTAGGTCCATCAACCTCGGTCGGTCATAGTCCTCCAGGTATTAACATCACTGAATGATTTGTGTTTAGAAGTCGAAAACATGTTGGTGGGTATGGTTGACACGTGCTGTTCGCCAAGCACCTACAAAGTGATTGACGCGATCGAACATGCCGTGACGTCAACACGACCTAATTCTCGTTACGTGATTGGCTGGGATGCAAACCTATTGTGGATATGGTTGTCAAGGTTACCAGCCAGTGTTGGTGATTTCATTGTGCAGATGTTGGCGAACAAGCGAGGTGTTCCACGAAGTTTACAAAAGTAGAACTCCTTGTAAAATGTCATGAGATTCCAATTTTAGTTATTTCTTATATTTCGAAGCATGGTGTAGTAGTAATAGCTTGTTTATTGTCTACTTCATGGTTGACTTGCGTCTCTAGCCAACCTCAGTAGGTTCTCTCAATTGGCTCCACYATTGGAAAGTCTTTCTGCGTCACGGGATATCTATCTTATAGCCTAGTATTCTGTCTCGCCGTGCAGAAGCCCTGCAGTAGTTACCCAAGATGGTCAATTAATTGATTATTCAAAATATGTTTATTTAAAAACCTCCAATAAGTGTTATATGGTAAAAATAATTTTCTATATTTTGCTGTGTCACTCCTCCTTCTCATGGCCAATGATATTATTAGTGTTTTATTCAACTTAGCAGAAAATTATCCGAATTAGATTGTTCCTATTTCTATCATTGAAAATAAATTTTGTTTATTTGGACAACTATAAAGGTTACAACGGCTTCCCATATTGATTCCTTTGGTTGCTTAATCGTAAAGTTACAAATTCATTAAACAACTTTTTATTAAATGTGTTTTTATTTTTAGTTTTTTGTTTGCTTATTTTTCCATCATGCTAGCATGACAAGCTACTAATCTAACTATTAACATTCAAGTTAATAACGAATTCAAAGGCATATACAGAAGCCTTTGACAACAATCAAAGAGCTTGAGATTATTGAACTACAAAGAAATTGTATAATGGAAT